TTGTAAGATACAAAAGTTTAGGCAATATACCATATTATCTCCCTTTACATGTTGTACTTGACTTAGCTAAACTAATTTGCGAAATTAATATATTAAAATTAAAAAGGACAAGAGAGCGTTTGATCTTCTAAATGAGAAGCTCTGAATCGTTACAATGCTTCCTAATAAGATAATCGGATATGTTGTGTAGAAAAACCATATGCGATCCTTGAAAGGACCTACTGCAAAATTACGATAGATGTACAGTAGAGGGGTCCAGACTACGGATTTCTTCTCAACGCTACTGGAGTCAGCTGACATGCTGATCTTGAAAAGCGATCCATACTGCGCAATCAGCCATCTGATAAAGATCTTTGATTGAGATGGACGCAATCACCAATTTCTAAAGTTGTTTGTTCGATTTTGTGTTTACGCGGTGACTTCGTCATGGTCGATTTTGTAAATATTGTCATGTTGGTAGACCTACCACCATCCACAATAGGGTCCTGCTGTGAGGAGTGGATAAGATTTACGTGGTTAGCACATACTCGACAATCTTAGTGGAAACCATTTCGGATTTTCGCAGGAAACTAAGCTGTGGTTGAATTTTATTGATCCTTCAGAGCCAATTTCAAACGCTTTCAAATGAGCGAGACCGAAACAATGGCTAGTTACCCAGGTAGAATCACGTAAATAAATACAATGCGCCATAGAAACTTCCATTTCATGGCATTTTTTTCTTGAGTCTGAAATAAGGCACACAGCTAACGACAACCCAAATAAAAGGTTGCAGAAACTGTGAACCCGAAGGTGATACTAGTGACTAACACTGAGACTAACTCTGAATCTATTAAAGCCTATTCCATTCCTTACATTATACCATGCAGATGGCGATTTCAAAAGGAAAGCTAAACAACATTGATGTCAAAATAACACAAGAATCCCACTATCAACATAGGAGTACTAAATATCACTTTGATTACCTTAAACGCTCGTACATTCATTAATGCTCTGGGTTTGAGATATGGAGTCTTCATCAGGGAAAGAAATTTGTTTGTTAAACTTTTGGTATAGCTACAGACTCGTCGTAACGCATCATCATTATGAATGAAGCCGAACCGAAAGATAGACGTTTGCTGGAACACCAAAATTGCTTAGAACAAACAAGCTCCCAATTGTCTTTATTCCTATCAATTTACATCATATAGCATTGATCTTAGCATACATAAAGCATTATGGAAATGAGTATAACTAATCTGATCCATATTCATTTATAATCGCTCTGATTTGCGTGAAGAAATCATCATCAACATCGGTAAACATTCGACTCAATGCGCGTCGCATCAGATTCTGTTCGTGATCTTCGCCTTCGTCTCTTCCAACATTGTCGTCATTCCTAGAAGAGCATACTCCTTTAATCTAACTGCTCTTACACCGGTTTAAGAATTTTGCAATGCTATAAGCATTTCCTACGGAAACGTGTGCTCAATGTTATTTCTAAAAGGTACGGATTATAATAAATATAAGACACTGATTTTTGCATACTTTCTTAAAAGGAATTACATTTCAGCACTCACATATTTTAGCAAACAGACCTTCGAAAGATGAAGTCAGAAAGATGCGGTTTTCGTCTTGCGTGGGGTGCCTCACCAGGATCGATGGACCCGTCGGGCAGTTGATGCTTGTAAAAGCATTTGTTGCCGAATGGGCACCCTTCACCAGAACTTCCTTCCTAAAATGCAATCGCCTTTTAACCAGTAAAGAAGTATAATAAAGACTATGAAGAAGAAGAATTAGCCAAACAAAAATGATGATTTGCTTAAAATAATAAAAGGCTTTTCTCCCTTTAACATGAAAAGCCCTCTCCTTCTAATTCCCAAAAGGGTTGTAAGCAAAAGGACAAGCTGATCTACTTTTGACGGTATACTTGTCCGGATGAGCTTTGCTAATCGAATAAAAAGCCATATGTCTACCAATACTACTACTTCGTCTAAAAACGAGAGGAACATTG